GATACACACAGATTGATATTGAAGGGATGGAAAAATATATTCCATGCAAAATAGAAACGAAAAGAAAGCTAAGGTAGCAGTACTCATATCAGACAAAAGAGACTTCAAAACAAAGAATGTAAAAGAAGACAGAGAAGGACATTACAGTCATCCCTCGCCACTTTGCACTTCCACGTTAGTCGCGTTTTTTCCAAATGGGACGACTGTATAGTAAATAAAGAATTCTACTTCGCGGAAATTCATTTATCACAGTAGAGTCTGGAACTGATTAACTGCAATAAACGAGGGCCGCTGAACATAATTTTAAAGGGGTCAATTCAAGAAGAGTATGTGACAATTAAAAATATCTATGCGCCTAACATAGAAGCACTCAAGTATGTAAAGCAAAATGTTAATGGACATAATGGCAGAAATTAACAGAAATACTATAGTGGTTGGGGACTGTAATACTACATTAACCTCAGTGGATAGATCATTCGAACAGAAAATTAATATAGAAATAATGGCCTTAAATTCCACACTAGGCCAGTTTGATTTGATAGACATTTATAGAACATTTCAAAAATGGTCAATTACACATTTTTCTCAAATGCACGTGGATCATTTTCCAGGATAGATCACATATAAGGCAATCACAAATACATAGAGATTAAGCTGCATGCTTCTAAACAACCAATGGGTCAAAGGGGAAACAAACACTACCTTGAGACAAATGAAAATACAGCCTTACAAGATTTCTGAGATGCAGCAAAAACAGTTGTGAGAGGAAAATTTATAGTTATATAGACCTACTTCAGGAAGGAGGAAATGTCCCACATAATCTAAATTTGCACCTAAAGAAACTAGAAAAAGAGGAACAAAACCCAAAGTAAGTAGAAGGAAAGAATACATATCCGAGTGGAAATAAATGAAATGGAAAAATAAAAAATTAATGAAACTAAGAGCTGGTTCTTTGAAAGGATAAATAAAATTGGCAAGCTCTAGCAATACTTATCAAGCAAAACAGAGAGAGAACACAAATAAAATAAAAAATGAAACGAGATTACAATCAACACAGAAATACAAGTATCACTAAAAAATACTATGAAAAATTATATGCCAACAAATTGGACAATCTAGAAGAAATGGATAAATGTCTAAAAACATACAACCTTTTAAGACTAAACCAAGAAGAAACAGAATCTGAACAGGTCCATTACTAGCATGAAAATTGAAACAGTAATAAAAAAAAAACACTTTCCAACAAAAAAAAACCCATCTTTCCAGGATAAGATGACTCCACAGGTGAATTCTGCCAAACATTTAAAGAATTAGTGCCTATCCTTCTCAAACTCTTAAAAAAAAAGTGAAGAAGAACATTTCCAAACTCATTTTACAAGGCCAACATAACCCTTATACCAAAATCAGACAAAGGCACTACAAAGAAAGAGAATTACAGGTCAATATCCCTGATGAACATAGATGCCAAAATTCTCGACAAAATATTAGCAAACCAGATTTAACAGTATTAAAAGGATTATACAACATGATCAAGTGGGATTTATACCAGTGATGCAAGTGTGATTCATCCCATCAATAAAACCAAGGATAAAATTCATGATGATGTCAATAGATGCTGAAACAAAAAAACATTTGACATAATTCAACATCCATTTGATAAAAAACTCTTAATAAAGTGGCTATAGATGGAACTTACCTCAAATTTGATAAAGGCTATATATGACAGACCCACAGTTAACATCATAGTCAATGCTAAAAACATGAAAGTTTGTCCTCCAAAATCTAGAACAAGACAAGGATGCCCACTCTCACCACTATCATTCAATATGGTATTGGAAGTCCTAGCCACAGTAGTCAGACAAGAAAAAGAAATAAAGTCACCCATATTGGAAAGAAAGGAGTAAAACTGTTGATATTTGCAGATGACACATACTATATATATAGAAAATCCCAAAGAATCCACCTACAATTAATAGAAACAATAAAAGGATTCAGTACAGTAGCAGGATACAAAATTAATATACAGAAACCTGTCACATTTCTATACACTAATAATGAACAATCAGAACACGAAATTAAGAAAGCAATACCATTTACAATTGCAACAAAAAGAATAAAATACCTAGGAATAAATTTAAGGAGATGAAAGACCTGTACTGTGAAAACTGTAAAACACTGAAGAAAGTGAAAAGGACCCAAATAAATGGAAGGATATACCATGCTTATGGATTGAAAGGATTAATAAAATTAAAATAACCATACTACCCAGATCAATCTACAGATCCAATGCAATTTCTATCAAAATACCAATGGCTTTCTTCTCAGAACTAGAACAAATAATTCTAAAGTTTATATGGAACCACAAAAGACCACAGATAACCAAAGAAATCTTGCGAAAGAAGGACAAAGGTGGAAATATCATGCTCACTGGTTTCAAACTATATTACAAATCTGTAATAATTAAAACAGTATGGCATTGGCACTAACTTATAGATCAATGGAACAGAATACAGAGCCCAGAAACAAACCTTTGCTTATATGGTCAACTAATCTACAACAAAGGTGGTAAGAATATACAATGGAGTAATGGCAATCTCTTCAACAAATGGTGGTGGGAAAAATGGACAGATATATGCCAAAAAAGGAAGAAAAAAAAAAAGAAACGAGACCACTCTTATACCATATACAAAAATAAATACAAAATGGATTAAAGACTTAAATGTAAGGCCTGAAACCGTAAACCTCCTAGAAGGAAAGATAGGTAGTAAACTACTTGACATCAGTCTGAGTAATATCTTTTTGGATACATCCTCTCAAGCAAGGGAAACAAAAGCAAAAATAAATGAGACTTCATCAAACTAAAAGGCTTCTGCACAGAGAAGCAAACCATCAACAAAACAAATAGACAACCTAGTGAATGGCAGGATCTATTTGTGAATGATATATCCAATAAGGAGTTGATATCCAAAAGATACAAGAAACTCATACAATTCAAAAACAGAAAATTAAACAATCTGATTAAAAAAAAAAAGATGGGCACAGGACATGAAAAGACATTTTTCCAAAGAAGACATACAGGAGGCAAACAGACGTACATAAGGATGCTCAACATCACTAATCATCAGGAAAATGCAAATCAAACCCACAATGAGATACCACCTCACACCAGTCAGAATGGCTGGAATAAAAAAGTCAGCAGATAACATGTGTTGTCAAGGATGTGGAGAAAAGGGACCCTTTGCGCACTGTGAGTGGGACTACAAATTGGTGTAGCCAGTATGGAATACAGTATGAAAATTCCACTTCTGGATATGTATCCAAAGAAAAAATAAATACTAATTTGAAAAGATATGTGTCTTCATTGCAGCATTATTTACAATAGCCAAGATGTGGAATCAACCAAAGTGTCCATCAATAGATGAATGATAGATGAATGGATAAAGCAGATGTGAGACACACACTCTAGAATATTACACAGCAATAAAAAATAATGAAATAGCCCTGGCCGGTTTGGCTCAGCAGTTAGTGCATTGGCCCGCGGTCCAGAGAGTCCCAGGTTCGGTTCCTGCTAGGGGCATGTGCCCTGGTTGTAGTTTGTCCTTGGCCCAGTTGGGGTCGTGTGGGGGACAGCCAGTTGATGTGTCTCTCTCAAGTTGATGTTTCTCGCTCTATCTGAAGATAAATGCAAAAAAAAAAGTCCTTGGGTGAGGATAAAAAAAAAAAATGAAATATTGCCATTTGTGACAACTTGGATTGATTTTTAGGGTATTATGCTAAGTGAAATAAAGCAAAGAAAGACAAGTACTGTATGATTTCACTTCTATGTGGAATAAAAACAAACAAACAAAAAACCCCAAAACCTACTCATAGTCATAGAGACCAAAGGGATAGTTACTAGAGGGGAAGATGGGGGGTGGGGGGGAATGAGTGAAAAAGGTGTGGGGGAATAATCAATAGTGTGATAAGTTTGCACGGTAACATGATTACTAGAATTAGTGGAGTGATCACACTGTAAGGTGTAAAAATGCCCAATCACTATATTGTACCTGAGATATCATACTAACTGGTATAACATTGTATATTAACTTATATTTATAAGTTTAATTAAAAAATAAAACTTTCAGTTCCACCTAGGGCCATACAGGGAATCCCCAAGATACAGGTTTAAATGGAAAAGGTAAGGTTCAGAATTGGTTAGGTCAGGGTACCAGCCTTTGCAATTTTAAAGGAAACGCAAACAAATGCATAGATTATTTTGGGATGATACTGTTAGCAATGGTTCCCTGTGGAATAAGGGATTATGAGTGGTGGGACTGCGACTTCATTTTTACCATGTAGACTTCTTTACCACTTCACTAAAACAAGCGAACCAACCAACCATCGAGCCGTGTTACCTTATATGTTACTTAGTAAGTGGTGATGGCGGGGAATTCAGCTCTACCTCAGTCCTCCTCTGAATAAACATTTGACTCAGGTCCTAAATGGGAATAAGGAGTGGCTTTCAGAGCAGGCGGATCAATACCGCTTTGAACTGCCGGGGGACAGGAAGATTTCCTCCCATTGGAAATCTTTAAAGACACTCCCCCATCCTGTGCTTTGGAAGGGGCTAAGTGGAGAAAATGGATGCGAGGATTCATTACTCCTCTGAGTCTTGGCCTCTGGAGAAAGAATGCAAGGAATTGAACCACCGCTGCGGTCCCTCTAAATCCAACACGTAATGTTCTGTGGGTTTTCATTTCTTCTGAGTGAATCATTCCCTTTTCTACCTGGCAGATATTTTCAACTTCACCTCTCTGTATGGGCCTATCAGTCAAGGCTGCATTCTGGAGCCCCCCTCTCCATAACCATCAGGTTGGGACCCCGGGCTTCCAGAAAGTCAGCCCAGCAGGGGGCACTGTCCTCACTGTTCCTCGAACTAGGCATGTGATCCAGGGCTACCTCAGGAAAGCTAAGGTCAGACATTAATCGCCTGCCTTGCATTGTTTTCCATTCTGCTGCAGGATTTCGGTCTGTTCCTCTGAAGAATGGGTACAGTGAAGACATTGAGCTGGCTTCCCTCCTGGTTTTCTGTGAGATGCGGCCAGTCCTGGTGAGTGGAGAAACACCTTGGGGTTCCCTGAGCTACATCTGCAGGTGGGGTGGAAACGGTCCATGAGTGTGCTTGGCTGATGGACTTAACCCCATCGAGAATGATCTGGCCAGACATGCCACATCATCACAAAAGAATTCCTTTCAGCTACAGATTTCCCCATAGGTCCTAGGTTTTTTCCTCCTAGCATCCGCCCTTCTTGGAAAATGCTGTGTGATTCTAGGAGTAGGCTATGTAGTCGGAAAGGGTGAGCTCTTTGGAAGGTCCTCCTAGTTGCATTCAGCAAGAGCCAGGCAAGGGATGCTCTTCTAGATAAGTTCATCCTGCCTGGGGGCCTTGCTCTGCTTGTTGGTCTTCGGAAATCCCTTACAAAGTCTGAAAGCATCCAACAGGCCTTGTCCACGGGGAAGGGTATTCATAGACCACAACTTCCCATAGTGAGCGGCACTCCTTTTGGGGTTCTTTCTGTTACTGGAAGAGCCTGCCTTTTTGGTCCTTTTGTTTTGCCAAGGCCTTGAAGATACTGAATCCCTCTTTTTATTAACCAGTTACAGTAGACTTAGCAGAAAGGGCTTGGCCTCCTTGAACTATAGAGGTTGAGATAGGTTGCTGAGAACACAGCACCAAGCTGTGGGTTGTTAAGGTCTCGGGTTTGATGGTGGGTGAAGATGTGGATACTTACTGTGGTTCTGGAGCTTCAGAATCTTCTGGTGGCCCCTCCCACAGAATGAAGCCCACTCAGCATGTGTTCTGCAAGGCCTCAAACGTGGTCAATTCAGTTTCCCGAGATCTTTCCATTCCCTTGCCACAAAACCCAGCATGATCTGGGAGATTTCTGCGGTCAGTCCAGTCATCTGGGGATAACCTAGAAAGACCATGGTCCCAGACCCCAGCAGGCTGATGTGGGCGTGGTCAGTGCCCCTGGATACACATCTTGTTTTCTCAATCTGGTTGTTCTCTGGGTAGGGAAGTCATAGCCTGTGCTGGTTGGCTGTGAGAACTACCAAATGGGGAGGGAAGATGGCAGGGGTGAGGGAGGATGCCTTTTAATAGCATAGTCCATGCAGTAAAAATTCATGAACGCGATTCAGAGGAGAGAGCATTAGGCTTTTCTGCATAGCTGGTTCTCTTACATTCCGTTTCTGCACCTGGGATAGTTTTACACTCCAAAGCACCGAGATGAAAGAGGATACAAAAAATAAGAGGGGACAGAAAGCAGCAAAACAGAAAGCAGAGACTTAAAAGGCACACTAGTTGGGGGCCCTAGAACCTTGGTGGCAGCCAAAGGCATCACTTTCTGTTGGTAAACGGAAGCTCGTGATGATGGGATTCTGTCTCAAAAGGATAAGGGGGTGGATGATGGGAAGGTTTCCATTTTGAACTAGTTTTTAAATGATATAGTGCTTTGGACTCTGTCAAAGCAAGTGCAGTGTTTATGTGAAAATTATCATTTTCACTTGAACCTTGAGTTATGGATAAAAAAAAAATCACCTTTCACGATTCTTCTAACGATAGAAACATTCGATGATAAAAATTTATATAAATTCTTCCCTTTAGCAGGCGACTGAGTCAGCCAGTGAGTCCTTGTTGGGAATGAGCAAGTCTTAAAATTTCTCCTCTTTTAAAACGAATTATGCATTTGTCAATCATGAATAAGACTATCTGAGGTCTTTAAGAAGTCCACTAAAAGACTTAAGCCACAATATATTATTTTGTATAAATTATTTTTAAAAATGCACACAGCCCAGATTTGTGTGGGAAGTCTAGTCTTATAATTTGGGGGAAGAAACAAATAGATAAAGCTAGCATTTGGTCTGTTAGCTTCCTTCCTTTCCAGGCCAATGCATTTTTTAAAATTAACTTATTTTTTAAAATATTTTTTTCTTTATTGGTTTAAGAGAGATAGAAACATCGATGAGAGAGAATGTTGATTGGCCGCCTCCTGCATGCCCCCCACTGGGGATCAGACCCACAACCTGGACATGTGCCCTGACCAGGAATCGAACCCGCAACATCTTGGTGCATGGGTCAGTGCTCAACCAATGAGTCACACCGGCCGGGCTAGGCCAATGCAGTTTTATAAATGTGCAATAATAACAACAACAACAATACAAATTCCTGTACACACGTCTAATTTTTTCTTGAAAGCATTTTTTGGGCACTACTGACATTTGGGGCCAGATCATCCTTTGTGGGGGGAGCTGTCCCATGCAGTAAGATGTTTAGCAGCATCCCTGCTCTCAACCTACTAAATGCCAGGAGCGCCCCCACTCCTTGTATAACAGCCAAAACTATATCCAGACATTGTCATATGTCTCCTGGTGGCAAAAATGATCTTTGGTCAGGAATCACTGCTTCAAAGCTAGATTGTAAGCACTTTTCATACTATTACCTAGTCTTCATTAGCACTTAATGTTGGACACATTTTTCCATCAAGCTGATCAACCATAGGTTAAACATTCCCCTAAATGGGGCATTTAGACAGAAACCACTTACAAAGAAGGCTCTCATGGACATCTTATGTGGTTCCTCATTTCCTCCTATAATTCAGAATTAATTCCTCAGGATCAATTCCCTAATATGGAATTAATGGGATCAATTCACTGAGCAGGATGGTAACACTGTAAAACCTGGGCCTGCAGCAAATGCCCGGAGAAAGGAAGCTTGAAGATCCTTGGCTTAGTCGTTTTCCCCTCCCCAGTCCAATGAAAGATCTGGGATTCTGTTGCCTGGGGAAAAGGAAACCAACATTTTCTCTCTGTGTACATAAAACCCTTTTGCAGACATTTCACGGAAAAAAATGAAGTGATAACAGTGGTTTCAGATGGCGGTCGGACCGCATTTGTTTAGACACTGCTGTGCAAAGCTGTCGTGAACAACTCGGGAACGTTATAAATAATTTAAGTAATTAGGTACTGCTGGCAGCAGGGAAAGTTACTATATTTAAAAGGAAATGTGTTTATCCAGACTTGACTTCCTGGGTGGGGGAAGCTTCGTGTGCCGGGTGCAGCTGGGGCTGCCAACGGGGTGTGGCTGGGGGTGTTGTGTGGGTTCCAGGTGGGACCGTGACTTGCGCAGATCTTCTCTCCGAAGGAATTCTGGAGGAAAAGTTGTGCAAGTTTCATTGCAACTGCTGGGTTTCGAGCTTCTGTTTCCTTCCACGTCTGTCACCCGGTCCCAAGCCACTGGTGTCTCTGCCCCAGGCCGCAGCGAGGAGATTCTGGGAAGCCGAGCGGGCCTGGGCTCCATCGCCCTGGGCTTTCTTGTTGCCCAAGGTCAAACCCTGTTTGATTTATCACTGTATCCTCCTTGATGCCAGGGAGAGACTCTGGTAAACAGCTTCACGAGAGATTTGTCTGAGCAAATGATTGATCCAGTGTGGGCCGAGATGGAGTTTACTCATAAAACATTTGCCGAGGGAGAGGTTAAAGCTCCAGAAAACTGTCAATAAGCACTTGAAGCCCCTTCTGAAGAAGCCATTTATTTACACGTCACAATTACTTTATCAATTCCCAGCCCTTTACTCAGCGGTATGTGTGTTTTACAAAGAGTATTTTTAGTACCGTTTTATTACCTACTGTATTTAATTCGAAGCAGGAAAGAAAGGGGGGAATTTGAAAAGATTCCCATCTACAACCTGTAGATAGGTGCTCTTAGCACTTTCGTATATTTTCTTTGCCTGATAATTTTTTGCATATGATATATCCATAGTCAGAATCACTTAACGCATATGAATGTGTGCCCTTTATCCACTTCACAGACGCCTTGTCTATGTGGTTATGTGATTTTCCAAGCCATCGATGCCTGTTTCACAAGGTGTGGGTCCCTAATTCACTTAGCCATTCTCTCACTGACGGACAGTTCGGTTGTTTGTAGATTTTTGCTTTATAAATAATGGACGTCTTTCTATAACATTTTTTGATTAAAAACTATTTCCCTGAGGCTAGATATTTAATCATGGAATACTACATCATGGAGAGGGGGGAAAAAAAGACCATATATTTTTGGCTACATGTTGAATTGTTCTCTGAACGCATATAGTTTCTTTTAAGTTGATGTATTATATCCAGCCTTGCCTTTAATTGAAAAGGGCCTTCACTCAACTGATCTAAACTTGTGAGATTCAGAAAGACGGGACAGGAGAAAGCGTGGAAATTTGAATATTCCATCCTCATCCTCGTTGATGGGCACACTGGCAGTACCCGGAGGGTGTGGTTGAGAAAACTGGCCGCCCTAGGATCCACTCAGAAGTGGATGGTGCTTAGCTTTGCACTGGGCGGAGGAGCCTAGGGGAAAGACCGGGATGCTGTGGTCCCTGGTGAGTGCTCAGCCACAAGGCAAAAGGCCACGGCACACGCTCCAGGGTCCTAGAGGACTTGGCGGGGGGAGTGGGGAGGCGGGAGGGCATGTACTCGGAGCTGAGCTGGACCTGGTGTTTGAGGTTGGGGAAGATTTCCTTACAGCTGGGGAGACCCGGAGGCACAGAAAGACCCCCCTTGTACATAAACAGCTAACGTTCGCCAGTTTGCCCAAAGAGCAAAAACGTCCCAAAGAGCAGGAACGGCTGCGCCTGCCTCTAAGACCCAGCAACTTGCCCTGACTGCCGAACAGACAAAACCGTGAGCACACAGTGAAAAAAGAACTGGCCAGAGTCACAGAAGGAACAGACCCAGTGGACACCTGGTGCAGGTGGCTGGCAGTTGACGTAGAGCTGTTGGAAGCACCCAGTGAGAACCCTACCTCTTTAGTCTTAAGAGTTTTTTCAAGGATTTCTAAGTAGAGCACTGAAAAAGACTTCTTGGAATTTGAAACAAAAAGACTGATTTCTTGAATTTAAAAATTCAGAGCATGAACAGAGACATTCACATTAGTGACCTAAAACATAACATGAAAGACACGTCTCGTCATTGAGAGTGACACCACCATGAGTTGGAAATCATACAGCTCAGAGGACAGTCCTAACATCAAGCATGTTCCAGAGAACAGAGTGGAACAGATGG